TTTCTTGATTTATGTTGTCAACCTTAATACCTTATCCTCTTGAGGCGTACCCCATAAACTAATTCTTTTAGCATTTGATTTCTGGGGCCACTTATGTATTGAAGGAAAGAAATAATTCAGTTTCAGGATTCTTTAACACACAATATTGTAGTCAGCAGTTACACATCTTTAGCATTTACTATAGTATTATTATTTACCTTATATACATGATTAAGAGATGTATAAATAGCAGCCTTGTAAATCAGTTTTAGACACACAGAAATACATTCAAAACACTTGTTCTCTTCTCTCTATTATGGTATAGAGCCACACGAGCTCTAACCAGCCATCTCCCTCTCCCTATGGAGGCAGACGACCCCCCTCCGCAAGGGGATCTCAGAAATACCCCAAACGGGCAGCCTACCATTTCTTCTACAAATTCCTCTACTGCAGTCATCAACCCCCTCACTCCAGATGGGTTAATCATCCTCAACCCCAGCCACTTCCCAGAAAAACTTGAAGGAACGAATTACCTCATATGGCGTGACCAAGTGCTTGACCTCTTGGTTGGCTCTCATCTCGACCAATACATCAGTGATGATGCTGTTCCGCCACCTGCCAGTGAAGCTGCAGGCCATCTCCGGTGGAATCGTCAAGACCGCCTCCTCCGACATGCCCTTGTCTCCTCCCTGAGCTCGGCGTGCAAACCATTGGTTGGATCCGCACGTACCTCTGCTGCGGTGTGGAAGACCCTAGAGCAGCTTTACGGTACCCGTTCAGCAGCTCAAATCCGGAATATGAAGGATGTTTTCCGCCACACTCGACAGGGATCTAAGGCAGTGGGTGAGTATCTTCATCATCTCCGTACCCTAGCCGATGAATTAGCTAAAGCTGGCCGCCCTGTTGACGACGATGACTTCGTTCTTCAAGCCATGGAGGGCCTCCGACCTGAGTTCGAATCCTTCACAAACTCCATTCGCACGTGTGGAGATAACAGTTTCGGCAACATCTACGCCTTGCTCATCGGGTTCGAAGCGACTCTGCGGCGGAAGGAGGCTCTGGATACAAGCGTTGGCGTGGTAACGGCGAATAACGTAGCGATGGGGGAGGCGAATACACTTACTTCCCGCAGAACTCCAGGGCAGCCTGGCCCATCTCATTATCAGCCTTCTTTATTGGGCCCTGGCCCATCTCATTATCAGTCCAGCCGCACAAACAACTAAGCCCGGGGTTCTACCGGGAGTCAGCCCAGAAACCAGCGGCCCAATTTTTCTCAAAATTCAAACCGACGTGCCCAGAATACTTTTCGGGGTACCACCAACAATATGACAACCCGCAACATCTCCGGGAATAGTAATCCCAATTTCGGAGCAAATATTATGTGCCAAATTTGTGGGAAACCAAACCACTCCGCTCTCAATTGTTGGCATCGGTTTGAACAACAGGCTTATCCTCCTCAGGTCAATACGGCTGTTACTAATCATAATGGATGGTTACTTGATTCTGGAGCAACCAATCATGTCACCAACAACCTGAATAATCTTACCTTGGCATCCGATTATACTGACACTGATTCTCTCATTATTGGTAACGGTAAAGGTCTTGCGATAGCACAAGTTGGGCATATGACCCTTCACTCTCTTTCTCTACCTAATACCCTTTTCGTCCCTTCTATTCATACCAACTTAATTTCTGTCGCCAAATTATGTCGTGATAATGATGTACTAATTGAATTTCATTCTTCTTTTTGTCTTGTTAAGGATCGGCGAACGGGAGCAATTTTGTTACGGGGTATGAATAAAGGAGACGTCTACAGCTTGCCAGATGTACCCCCTCCACCATCTCCGTCCGCTCACATCTCACAAAAATATTCCCTTAATAATTGGCACTGTCGCTTAGGACATCCAGCCCTCCCTATTACAAAAAATTTTTTGTCGTCCTTAGGTATTTCCTTTTCCGATTTTACTTCGAATAACTCTTTGTGTGTCTCGTGTGCTAGTAATAAAAGCCATAAGCTGCCCTTTGCAAAATCATCTCTTTCGAGCTTTGGACCTCTAGATTTAATCTATACAGATGTCTGGGGTCCCGCTCGTGTTAATTCTATTGATGGCTTTCGTTACTATGTTATCTTTGTTGATCATTATACCAAGTATATTTGGTTTTATCCTATAACTCATAAAAGTGAGGTCACTCCACTCTTTCAAAAGTTTAAAAAGATTGTTGAAAACTTTTTTCAACGCACAATTAAAACAGTTTATTCTGATGGGGGAGGCGAATACATAACCTTAGGGAAATTCTTAAGCACATGTGGGATTTCTCATTTATTTACACCTCCCTACACTCCAGAGCACAATGGCTTTGCTGAACGTCGGCATCATCACATTGTGGAAACTGGTATTACCCTACTTCACCATGCATCTATGCCTCTTAAATATTGGTCTTATGCTTTTCTTACCGCAGTTTATCTCATTAATAGACAACCTGCTCTCTCTCTTAACTTCTGCACTCCATATGAAAAACTCTTCCAACAACCTCCTAACTACACTAAACTTGCTGTTTTTGGGTGCCAATGTTTTCCGTGGTTACGACCCTATACCACTCATAAATTAGAACCACGCTCCAAACCATGTGTCTTCCTGGGATATTGTGATCAACAAAGTGCCTATCGTTGTCTTGATCTTACCACCAACCGTATCTTTGTCAGCAGACATGTTGTGTTTGATGAGTCAGTGTTCCCTTTTTCTACATCCTCACCACCCGTCTCACATATCACTTCTGAAGTTGATCACTGGCTTTCGCCTTCTCTGTCTTATTTTCCCATTTCAGGTACTCTGGCTGCGGGGGCGTCTCCTCCAACTCATACCTCGGCTCAACAATTGACTCTTGACACGTCACCCACTACCTCTACTCAAACTGATATCCCGCTTTCTCCTCTCCCTAAACCCACACCACCACAAATTATTACTTACCAACGCCGACCCAAACCCAATTCTCCTATCCCCCCTTGTTTACCTGCCACTGATCTCACCACCTCAAATCCACCCCTTGATACTCCACCGCCCAAACGTACCCATCCGATGACCCTTCGACCCCGTAAACAAGTCAATGTTACCACTGTTGATCCTTTACCTCACCATATAATTCCCACTTGTGCTTCTCAAGCTATGCAGGTACCACAATGGCGGAGTGCTATGACAGTAGAATTTGATGCCTTGGTTCGACAGGGCACTTGGGATCTTGTTTCGGCTCAGCCTGGTCAGAATATTGTGGGTTGTAAATGGGTATATACAGTGAAGTATAAACCGGATGGCTCCTTGGATCGCTATAAGGCTCGGCTAGTGGCTAAGGGCTTCCATCAGTGCCCCGGGATTGATTATTCCGACACCTTTAGTCCGGTCATCAAACCGGTCACCATTCGTATTGTTCTGACTATTGCTCTTTCTCATGGTTGGCCAGTACATCAGTTAGATGTCAATAATGCATTCCTACATGGGACTCTTCAGGAGGAAGTTTACATGAAGCAACCTCCGGGCTTTAATGATGGTTCTGGGTTTGTTTGTCGCCTTCGGAAATCTATTTATGGCCTTAAACAGGCACCTCGTGTGTGGTATCAATCTCTTAGTGGCTTCCTTCTGTCAATTGGGTTTTCTCAATCGGTTGCTGATGCCAGTCTGTTCATCTTTTCCTCCCATTCATCTTACATCTATGTTTTAGTCTATGTGGATGATATTATTGTTACTGGCTCTACACCCGACTTGATACGTCAGACTGTTGACTCATTGGCCCATCGATTTTCTATCAAGGATCTTGGCTCCCTACACTATTTCTTGGGCATGCAGGTTACTCCTACACAGGGCGGACTCTTCCTTGATCAACATAAATACATTATGGACTTATTACAAATGTTAAAAATGGATGAGGCCAATCCGGTAGCTACGCCGTTAGCTCCGTCTGCTTCATTAACCCTGTTTGACAGTTCAGGTACATGTGATGCCACTCTCTATCGCCAGGTCCTCGGGTCACTTCAATATTTGAATCTTACCCGTCCAGATGCTGCCTTTGCTATTAACAAACTGGCTCAATTCATGCATAAACCTACGGTCAATCATTGGCAACTTCTCAAACGTCTTTTGCGCTATCTACAAGGAACTGCTTCTCATGGCCTGTTTCTCTGTCCTAGCACATCCCCCTCTCTCCGTGCCTTTGCTGATGCTGACTGGGCAGGGAACCCTGATGATCGTTCTTCTACTAGCGCATATGCCATTTTTCTCGGGGAATCTCTTATATCTTGGAAATCAGTTAAGCAACGTACCATTGCTAAGTCTTCCACGGAAGCTGAATATCGAGCTCTTTCCACCGCTGCCTCTGAAATTATTTGGATTGAATCTCTGTTGCGTGAGTTGCGGCACCCGCTCCCTTCTCCTCCACTCCTCCTTTGTGATAACAAAGGTGCCACTACGTCTTCAGCAAATCCTGTCTTCCACACTCGCATGAAACATGTGGCAATTGACTTTCATTTTGTTCGGCAGCGGGTTCAACGTGGCCTTCTTCAAGTTCATCACATTCCATCCTCTGATCAGATAGCTGATGCCCTCACCAAACCGCTCCCCCGACAACGCTTCATTATTCTTAGAGACAAGCTCAGGATTCTTGGCAGTGACAGAATACCTGGCTTGCGGGGGCGTATTGAAGGAAAGAAATAATTCAGTTTCAGGATTCTTTAACACACAATATTGTAGTCAGCAGTTACATATCTTTAGCATTTACTATAGTATTATTATTTACCTTATATACATGATTAAGAGATGTATAAATAGCAGCCTTGTAAATCAGTTTTAGACACACAGAAATACATTCAAAACACTTGTTCTCTTCTCTCTATTATTATGATGATGAACGCTCTTTTTTTTATGATGATCTCTCTTTTATCTGTTGTCTATGAAAAGGTCTTCAAGGATTTATTTGATTTCTTTGTTAGTTATATGCGATTATTATTACATACTTTCCTCGTATTGATGCAGGTGCAAATTTGGGCGAGCAGTAAAATTGAAAAGGAAGAAAGGTCTTGTGTTGGAAAATGGGATGTCCGATCCATGATGACTTCTGAACTTTGTGGCTCAGAAACCCTATGTGAAGTACCTAGGCATGTAAAATTTTCTTTTCGAAATCCTGTTAGGTGTCGCATTATTTGGATAACATTGCGTCTCCAAAGAATTGCTTCGAGTTCTGTTAATTTTGAGAGAGAGATCAATCTTTTGTCATTGGATGAAAATCCTTTCTCGGAGCTCACTAGACGTGCTTCCTTTGGTGGAGCAGCTGAGAATGAACCGTGCCTTCATGCTAAAAGAATCATGGTCTTGGGGAGTGCACTCAGTAGAGATATAGGCACATCTAGTGAAGCCACTGACCAGCTAAATACAAGTTGGCTGGACAGAGGTCCTCAGTTAAACAGATATAAGGTGCAAATCACTTTTATGCTGTGCTTCTGAAAATTATTCAGTATAACGTCATGTCCCTTTTTCCAGGTTCCCGTGGAGGCTGAAAGGTTAATGGACAACGATCTTGTTTTGGAGCAGTTCCTGTCCCCAGCTTCACCTATGTTGGCCGGATTTCGTCTGGATGGTTTCAGTGCCATAAAATCTCGGATTACTCATTCACCATCATCAGTTTTTAGTTCACAGAATGATCTTGCGTGTCCTTTTGATGATAGATTCATATCTCCGGCAGTCTTATATATTCAAGTGTCAGCTTTCCAGGTAGAGATTAGGAATGTAACTAATTGGTATAGTTTCTTTGTGTTAAAGTATATAAATAGAAATATAGCTTTCATAGTGTTAGTAGTATTATAGTTTCCTACTCCTATTAGGTTTGAGTAGGTGGGAGCCTTTGCGGCACTGGGGTAAATGAAAATGAAAATGACTCCTATTAGGTTTGAGATTTTGGCTTCCTGTTCCTATATGGTTTAGGTCCATTATTTCACTATATAAACATTGTTATATGCTCTAGAATCCAGTTGCAAGTTGAAAGTCATATCAATATTTTTTTATTATTCAACACTTCACGTGAATAGATGCATGGATGTAAATATGAACCTTGAATTAAAATCATTCTTGATCTTATTGGTAAGAAGTTTAGGTCCATAATCTTTTTATATAAGCATTATGCTCTAGAAATTATCAAGTTAAGTTGAAACTCATATCAATAAAGACAACTTTGTTGTCTCCATTACTAAAAAAGTGGCAACATTTTTCTGTTACTCTACACTTCCCATCAATAGCTGCAGGGATTTTAATCTCAACTTTGAATTGAAAATCATCCTTCATCTTATTGGCAGGAACCCCAAAGCATGGTCAATGTTGCGGAATACCGGTTACCAGAAGTGAAGGCTGGGACTCCTATGTACTTTGATTTCCCTAGGCAAATAAGCTCCAGGCGTATCTCATTCCGCCTTGTTGGGGATATCGCTGCTTTTTCTGATGACCAAACAGAACAGGATGACTCGGACTTCAGTGCTCGCCGTGTCGCTGCTGGGTTGTCTCTGGGTAACAAGATTAAGTTGTATTACTATGCTGATCCATATGAAGTTGGAAAGTGGGCTAGTCTCTCAGCTGTGTGACTGATCTAACACAGCATGATGATACAATACATTCCAAACAGCTCTGGCTGTGCCTATGCCATTGCCAAATACACCCGAACATTTGCTGATCCTTGCAAATAGCATGCCAAAATAAAGTAGGAAACTAAACATGAATGGTTTCTATAAATGAGTTTTTTCTTCCTTTTCCCCCCTTTTCTTAATGGTCGTACAGTATCCAGGCATTTGTTATAGCATTATAATCGATTCTTTGATCTGGGAGGCGTGTATATAATAGAAGATATGCTCCAATATTTTATAACGAGTGTATGTTGTAGGCTGGTTGTATTTTAGTCCTGAGAACTTAGGGGTTTTGAACTCTGAAACTGCTGCTTGTGTTGTGGATGACCCATTAAATTCTTATCAGCATACCTTATGCCGTAGACTCCTGTGCTCACAACGATCCTTAAGTGACCTGGGTTCCTGCGGCTGTTGTATCATATTTGCTTTTTCTTCCCCTCTTTATGATGTTGACACAGACACACACACACACACACACACACACACACAGGGAAGAGTTCAAATAAAAAGACCCCTTCCCGTGCAAAGTGCGAAGATATGCACTTTTTCATGTTTCGCTTGCACTTTTTTCGTGTTTCTGTTGCACTTTTTTGCGGTGACGAAACAGTGTGGTTTATTTACGAAATTTCCACTGCGATTTTGGTCAAATTTAGTGCATTTTCGGCTCATTTTGAGTCATTAGATATGAAAATGAATGTACATGATTCACTCTCACTTTGCATGGGAAGAGTTTTTTGTATTTGAACCATCCCCTATATATATATATATATAGAGAGAGAGAGAGAGAGAGATTCTTGTCCAGAATTCCGGACAGGAACCGCTGTACAAATGGTGGTGTTTCGGCCTCTTCCCGGTCGACTTTTTTGATGAAATTTTCATGGCATGTTCTTCATCAAAATTTGTTTATTCACAAAAAAAATCAGCTAAAAAGTTAATCGGGAAGTAGGGGTGGATTCGGTTCGGGCCACCCGGCCCGTGACCCGGCCCGGTACTGTGCGGGCCCGGGACTAGGAGTGGACTCGGGCCTGGGCCCGGCCGGGCCTCGGTTCAAGAAGGCGAGGCCCGGAACCGGCCCGGGTAAACCCCGGGTCCGGGCCGGGCCTCAGGTATTTTTTTTTTGGGGGGGGCTTTTCCTAGTTAACCCCCACCCCTCCCCCTCACCCCCAAACCAACCCTAACCACCTCAAATGGCCCAAAATAACCAGCCCAACCCAAAAACTCAAAAAAAATTCAAAAACAAAATTAAAATTGGCCCGGCCCGGGCCCGAACCGGCCGGGCCGGTTCACCTTTTGAAGGGCCCGAGCCCGAACCGAGAATCCACCGGGCCGGGTGGCCCGAACTGCCCAATGAACCGGTTCCCGGGCCGGTCCGGGCCGGGACAGTGGCGGGCCGGTCCGGTTCCGGGCCGGTTGGCCCGGCCCGAGTCCACCCCTACCCGGGACTGGCCCGGTCAGACGGTCCGGGACCGGGTGTAGACCCGAACCGGTGGGAATGGGTGGGGCGGGCACGGTTCCGGAAAAATTGTGTTTTATATGTATATTTTGGACGCAGGTATCTTCCAAAAATCATTTGACGGCCTTCCCGATTGAATTTTTAGCTGAATTTTTGTGTGGATAAATTAGACTTGATGAAGAACATGTCATAAAAATTTCATCAAAAAAATCTATCGGGAAGGGCCCCAGATGCTGCCATCTGGACGGCGGTTCTGGTCAAGAAGGCCTGACTGGGTCCAGAAGATTACTCTCTCTATATATATAAATATAAATAAAGGAGAGGTCAAGAAGGCCTGACTGGGTCCAGAAGATTACTCTCTCTCTATATATAAATATAAATAAAGGAGAATTAGTCTGAGGCACTGAGCCGTCTAAATTTTCAATCTGATGCACAATAATCATTATCTAATGCACTGTGCATTAAAACTTGTCTGATGCTAGGAATGGACTCGGGTCGGTTCGGGCCCGGTTCGGGCCTGGGCCCGGCCGGGTCTCGGTTCTAGGAAGGCAGGCCCGGAACCGGCCCGGATAACCCCGGGTCCGGTTCGGTTCGGGTCACCCGCCCGGTTCACGGGCCGGGCCGGGCCGGGCCTATTTCTAAAATCTGTTAGGACGTTGCCGACCGCACTGAATTCTTGTTCCACGGCAATGGTTGATATCGGCATTGCTAGTACTTGCTTAGCCATCTTTGATAAAATCGGGAATGTTCTTTCATTTTCCTTCCACCACTTAAGAACGTCAAAGTCATCACCAACTTCATAATCAACATTCAATGTTAGATACAAAGAAAGCTCGTTACCTGAGCTTTGTTCAGTAGCGGGAGTTGCTCTACTTTTTTTCAAAAGAGAACCAAAAGCGGATTTTAAAAGTGATTTTCCTTTAGATGAAGAAGATGTTCGTTGCATGGGAGGGGGTGCATTACCATATTGTGCATGAAATTCATTATACAATTGATGAAATAAATTACTAACCTCGTTGAATTCTTGTTTAGGGTCGATGGGATTATCATCGAACTCTTGAGTTGGAAAAAAAGAAGCATAATAGTAATCTATACAATTTGTCAAGTAAGAAAGTTTATAACGAGGATCAAGAACAAATGCAATACCATATATATGCGGAATATGTGAATAATATTTTAAAAACTTTTGTTTCATGAAATCACAAAAATAACTAACGTAAGCGGCGTCGGAAAATTCACAAAAAGCGCCGGCGAGATTAACAGCTTCAACAAAAAATTCGTTTGCGGTAGGTTTATAAACATGACTAAAAGTTAGAGTTGCGTTATTAAAATATGCCAAAACATTAACAATTTTTTCACAAGTGTCGATATCAGCCGGGTTTATAATATAGTTACAAGTTTGTCTTAAAAAAGCTGGAAAATGATCTTTATATCTAACAAGTACTTGAATTAAATTATAAGTACTATTCCAACGAATAGACAAATCTTTAGGAAAAGCACAATAATTCACACGTCTATCCTTCAAATATTGCCGCCATTGCATTTTTAGTGGAGTGTTAGCCCAAATCAATTTAATTCCCCCCTTGACTACCTCCAAAGCATTTCCTAATGCCGCTAAGCCATCTTGTACACACAAATTTAGAATATGACATGCACAACGTTGATGAAAAAATCTACCCATCAATGTAGAAGCACCACACAATTCACGTAATCTAGGTATAACAGCAGTATTATTACTAGCATTATCAAAACCTACAGCAAACACCTTATCAATCAAATTATACTCAATTAAAATACGTTCAATGAGAATATAAATATTATCAGCAGTGTGACGATCATTGAATTCACGAAAAGCAAGAACACGTTTATGCATATTCCAATCATCATCAATATAATGTGCAGTTAGACCCAAATAATATAAATGATGATAAGTATCCTCCCATATATCGCTACAAATACTAACACGTCCATCAAAGTTTGCGAAAAATATTTGTAATTTTTCTTTTTCCAAGTTATATTGCCTTATAACTTCTTTTTTAATCGTTTTGAGACTATAATTTCTAAATTGAGGATTTAAAGTACCTTGAGCATAATCTCTTAAAGCAAGACTTTCGGAAAAAATAAAGGGTAAATTTTCTTCAACAATTAAATGAGACATACCAGTCAAATGTTTTTTATCATCATAGGAAAAATTACCAAAGGGTTGAGAATTTGCAAACCTTGATATTTGTGTTTGCTTCCCCTTTCCTTTGTCTATTTTCGCATACTGCACAACGTGGGTGGACTGAAGATGCCTTTTGAGACTCCCGTATCCGCCAGAAATTCCCAAGCTAAACTCTTTCTTGCAATGATTGCAACTTGCGTACCATTTTTCGGTTTTTTCGTCTTTCCTTTTTGTAAAATTGTTTTCAATAATAGCAGATTTAGATTTCTTACCAATTTTGGTTGTAGTCGTTGAAGGGCCCTCGTCCTCTTCCTCATCATCCGGAGTCCCGTCACCCCCCGCGTCCTCCTCCCCATCGTCATCCTCGAGCTCCTCTTCATCGATGGTTGTCGGGAATTGTTGTTCTTGTGCAAAACGTGGATCATTTTGGGACAATAGGTGTTGTAGTTCCTCGTCGGACATCATCATACCATCTCGCCGTTGGTAATCCGTTTCAAAATCATCTCGACTTTGAAAAGAAGACTCGGCCCGCGCTTTACCTTTGCCTTTGCGTGAAGTAGATCGAGTCGATGCAATCTCCCTCTTGCGGTTGCGTTGGAGATTACCCACATCTACAGAATGTCTACCTCGCTCCATATTTAAAATTGAACAAATATTAGCACTTAACTAATATGAGAAATGTAAAAATTAACTAGTTTTGTTATTTTAATGAGATATGTAGCAATTAACTAATATGAGAAATGTAAAAATTAACTAGTTTTTTTTACTTTAATGAGATATGTAGCAATTAACTAATATGAGAAATGTAAAATTGTAGCAATTAACTAATTAACTAATATGAGAAATGTAAAAATGTAGCAATTAACTAATTAACTAATATGAGAAATGTAAAATTGTAGCAATTAACTAATATGAGAAATGTAAAATTGTAGCAATTAACTAATATGAGAAATGTAAAATTGTAGCAATTAACTAATATGAGAAATGTAAAATTGTAGCAATTAACTAATATGAGAAATGTAAAATTGTAGCAATTAACTAATATGAGAAATGTAAAATTGTAGCAATTAACTAATTAACTAATATGAGAAATGTAAAAATGTAGCAATTAACTAATATGAGAAATGTAACAATTAAGTAGTTTAACTAATATTAATATGACAAATGAAACAATTAACTTTAACTACTTTAACTAATATTAATATGACAAATGAAACAATTAAGTAATTAAATAGATAAACGAGAAGTGTATATATAAATCAAATGTATAACTATATATAGTATATATAAATATATAATGTGTAAATATATTATAAGTAATATATAATATAATGTATAACTATATTCTAAGTAATATATAATATAATGTATAACTATATATAGTATATATAAATATATAATGTGTAAATATATTATAAGTAATATATAATATATATGTATAACAATATATAGTATATAATATAATGCGTAAAGAATTATAATATGAATGTGTATAAGTATATATTTATAAGTAGATAATTAATATTATAATATATGAGTAGATATAATAATTATATAAATTATATATATGTAGAAAGAATTTGGAGAAGATGAAGAATGAAGATGATTGAATATGAGAGATTAAGAGAATAGAGAATTTAGATTTTAGAGAGTAGAAAGAGTTGTAGAAGAAGAGGTGTAAAAAATGTATAGAAAATAGGAGTATAAATAGGTTTTTTTTTGTATACCCCACCCCCACCCCACCCCCCCTAACCCCCCAGCCCCCCCCCTCCTATGCTCCCAACGGCTATAGAGCCGTTTGGGAGGTCTCCCAACGGCTATAGAGCCGTTTGGGAGGTCTCCCAACGGCTAGTAGAGCCTTCAAATTTTTTTTTTTTTTTTTTGTGACCGTTGAGGCCCGGACCGGGCCCGGCCCGGCCGGGCCGGTTCATCAAATTCTAAGCCCGGGCCCGAACCGCTACACGACCGGGCCGGGTGGCCCGAACCGTGTCCTAACCAACAAACCGGGCCGGTCCGGGCCCGCACAGTAGCGGGCCGGTCCGGTTCCGGACCGGTTGGCCCGGCCCGAGTCCACCCATATCTGATGCACTTTTTTGAAATGTGCATCAGATAAGTATTAGTGCATTAGATAATGATTATTGTGCATTAGATTAAAAACTTTGACGGCTCAAATTAATTCTCATTTTACATGTTAAAGCTTCTTTTTATTTGAACCAAACCACACATCCTCTAATACCTTTCTTTATTTACTAGCTAGTATCCTGTTTTAATTTGATATTTTTGTCGTTCCTAAACTTTTTTATAACAATCTTATCCCATGTACCCTCAACAAGTTTGCTCCTTATCAGCTCTTAGATATTAAAAGTGATTTTGATTTTATAGACTAAGTTGGGTTTAATCAGTCCCAGTCACCTGACTAGATTTAAACGAGTCTGGTAATACCGTAATATTCGTGACTTCGTGTAGTGAATAATATGTGTATTTTGCAATTGGTTTGATAAATGTCTATTATATGTGTTTTTTACAAATATAAAAGTTTGACGTGTATTGTCTGAAGCAAACAATTGAAGTTATTTATTATTTCGGGCCCAATTAGTAGTGACTCACTAGTAGGGATGGACCCGGGCCGGGCCGGGCCCGGGCGGGCTTTTTTTGCTAATACTTGGGCCCGGAACCGGCCCGGTTTGATACCGGGTTCGGGCCTAACTGGGCCGGGTCGGGCCCGGTTCAATGTCTATTTTTTTTGCTTTCTTGTTATCCCCCGACCCCCCCCCTCACCCCCACCCCCAAACCTCCCTAAAACACCCATCCCTACCCTAGGAAAAGAAAAAAAATTGAAAAAAAAATATGACCCGGGCTCGGCCCAAACCGCCCGGGCCGGTTCGCCCAAAACTGGGCCCGAGCCCGGCCCGCCCAACCCGCCCAAACGGGCTAAAAGTCTGGAACCGGCCAACCGGTCCGGTCCGGTCCGGACCCGCACAGTAGCGGTTTCGGGCCGGTTCCAGGCCGGACCGGCCCGATTTAGTCCATCCCTACTCACTAGTGAGCACTGAGCACTTGATCGATATTATGCGAGTCATGTGGTGTTTATGTTGTATTTAAGGGAAATTGTCGTAAATAAGAGTAAAAAACATTTGGGTACTTTAAAATAGGATTGTTATATTTTTATTTTCTAAATAAGAGTAATTATTGCAATGTTTTGAAAAAAATAGACTTTAAATATGACAGTGTTTTCCAAGCCTGTTAGTAATTATCTCTATTTATAGAATAAAAATATGGTAGTCACATTTTGGACTTTTCAAACGTGTGAACTCCCATTTCGGGGAATTTTCTTATTAAATAAATGTGAATTAAGCAATTTTATTATTAGTGCGCTAACTCATAGTTTATACACATAACACGTGCACATACATACATATATGTAACACACATGTGTGCAAACATGTATGTATATAGGAATGTTTAAATTTCATCATTTTTTGTATGGACATCCAGACGTTTTGTAACAAATCAAACTTTTTTGTCACCGCAAATAGTGCAATATTGTAATGTGAAAGTGTTCAGTCGTGAATAGGAAATGCATGGTTACGTGTCATTATCCTTTTTCATGAGACATCATTCATGCTAAAATTGCACATTATATATATATACATACATGCAAGAATAGTTTCTTGTGAACGTTTGTCTTATCATGATGGCATTTTATTTTGCGAAGAACACTAATGTCAATCTTTCATTTATTTTATTCACTAGGTATTACTCATAAATTGTCATTTTTGTAATTATTTTAAATTATTAGGGTTTATGTAATTATTCTAAAATGGTCATAAACATGCACCCTTGTCAATTGTAGTCATTAATTAGAAAATGAACTTTATAAATTAAAAGTTTTCATTTATAAAGATGCTCTCATGTGTAGATATGTTCATATAATTACAATATTCTCATAAGTTTTGAGGCATTGCCTGCCTCCCAAATAATCTTACTGACTGAGGTCTTCTCACAGTGACTTCAAGATCGAAAAGCCTCCCGAAGGTGCAAATGTGACCCGTCAATACGAGTAAAATGTGATCCCTTAAATCATATACAATGAGTACACATATTGCACTCCTCAGCTAGTAGTTGATTTAGATTCCGGTTTTGACTAGTTGATTTAGGTTAATAGGTAAGGTACAGTCCCCCCAATTTTTTTTACTTATTTATTTTTTTCATTTGCTTTCTCGTGTCTTGTTTGTATTTCTTAGAGGGATGCCTCTATTGAAAGGTTTTGGCCTAGTCCCCCTTTCTTTTGTAATTCATTCTTATTAATAAAATAATGGCAAATGTTCCCCGACATTTGCCCCACTGATTTTGGTGGTTTATCTTCCGGGATAAAAAAGGTTATATATTAAGATTTGTGGTTTAATCCTCCAATGTACCTAATAGAAAGAATAACTCAAATCTTATATTGGTTCATAATATGGTGACATACTGGAGCAAACCAATCTTGAAATTTGTATTAAGAGTATATATTGCATCTTGATTACTGAACCTGATAGAATAAGTTGTTGGAGTATGGAATTTTGAAAGTTTTTCATATATTTATATTTTGCCCGTGTATTGGTTTTGACAATATATTGTTAGAATGTCACTGGTGTGCTAACGAGTTGTATGTCTTGTCTCTTTTACTTGTAAGATTGATTTTAAGCAATACAATTCGGGTAAATATGCATAAATAATGTATGAAAAAGTTTGAGGTAATAAGGAATATAAGGTAAATATAAGTTTTAGAAACAATGAATTTTGAGTTATAGGAAATATTTTTTATTGCCAACGAATTTCAAAAAGTTTGAGTTTGTATCTAATGTATGTTTCAAAACTTGATTTTGCTTTATATTTTTAAAATCTTCGGGTTTCCATCCCAAACTAAAAAATAAGATGCAAAACCGAATATCAATCTACGATTAATAATTTTCGAATCATTGGGATGCAATATAATTTCAGAGAATTCTAAAGGTAGGGTTCAAAGTCCAATTTTAAATAAAAATAAGAAACAATGACCCTAATATTACTATTATACACACACATATCTATGAATATTAGTGACACACAATCTACGGCCGCCCTCCATGTCATTTCTTGATTCTCTTCCCTACATCATTTTTGTAAACTTAGGATTGATGTGTCTATGAAATTTACAAAGTACAACTGTCTTTCAATTATTTAATCTTTAAATAATTGTTGAGTTTTTATACTGACTGAGGCTCGAGTGGCTATGGCGATGAGGTAATCACATTAGTGATTATCAGTGGAATCAGTTGAGTCACTATAGGCTACATAAAAATATGTAGTCAATGTGAGATTTAAATTAGTAATTTAATTTCATGATCACTAATAGCAATGATAGTGGGATTGACGTGTATAGTATTTATTTTAGTAATATATATATAAAACTAACAAATTTAATTTTGAATCCATACAACTAAAAATAAGTCAAACACTTGTAGATTCTGAAATGAGTTTAAACAATTATAAAGTTATTATCTGATATTTATTACTTCCTCCATTTTTTTAGTTGCAACGGTCAACATTTCACATTTGCCAACGCACGTCTTTGACCGTAATTATATCTTAATTCTATTAGTAAAAAAAATATTAAAAATCAGATTTTGAAAATGTGCAATGAGATGAATTGAACGATATTTTTTGAAAAATATAATTTCATAAAATAATAGCGTAAAATATAGTCAAAGTAGAGCATGTGAATAGTGTAAAATTCAACATGTTGCGATTAAAACGGAAAGGAGGACCCGGATAAATTCAAAATTTTGTACAACAATTTTCCAAACCCGGCCTACTGGACTCCTACCCCTATAAATAACTACCATCGCGGCTTGGGCGTTGACCCGTCAAGAGAGAGAAATACAGCAGAGCTGGGCATCACACTCCATAGTACATCGCCAGCTCCATTAATATCTGGAGAAGAGAAATTAATAGTAATCAAAGGTTTATATAATCATCATTAATCATTATTAATTATAACTCCCTTCTATAATTCTTGTTATTATCGTTTCCCAGTTATCTCACAACAACAATTTATTGCAGTTACCGTTATTTGGCGGGGGAGAAAATGGACGGAGCTTCAGCTCAGACGGCGGACACGGTGATGTCGGAGGCCGCTTCACACCACCAGCCGAACCAACAACCCTCGCCTCCGCAGATGATGGGGATCGACAATATTCCGGCTACCCTCAGCCACGGAGGCAGATTCATTCAATACAACATCTTCGGCAACGTGTTCGAGATCACCGCCAAGTACCAGCCCCCCATCATGCCGATTGGTAAAGGCGCCTATGGTATTGTGTGGTAAGTTGCCTTTTCTCTCTGTTAATTTTTAAAGAAATTGACCTAACTTTTAACTGTCTTGATTGATAGATTGATGGATAAACGTATTTTAATTTTCGATTTTCTTGTGGGGTGAAATGAAGTTCTGCTCTGAATTCGGAAACGAATGAGAACGTAGCACTGAAGAAAATCGCCAATGCGTTTGATAATAGAATTGATGCCAAGAGGACTCTGCGTGAGATCAAGCTGGTTCGTCACATGGATCATGAAAATGTTAGTGAACCATCTCTAAACATAGGGCCCACTCAAGCTGTAGTTATAATTTACTTATTGACACTGTTTATTCATCTCTTAACTTCTCGTGAAGTTATTGATATTTAATAATGTGTAGTAAGCATGAAAAAAACTGTTCGTCTGTAGTAAATAGCTACTTTGACTTCTGAACGAAAAGGAGGCAAGAAGATTATGTTAATAAAAGCGTGATTGACTTTTGCATCTTCTATGTAGTCTGTATACAGTAGGTACCAACCCATTCTATTGTAAACTTTTGAGCGCTAGGTTTTATGATGCTATGATAGATTAAGAAAGATGTCAGGTGCATAGAAATTTATGTACGGTAGTATTTAATTTAGGAAATGAATTGGATTATTTTTGAATGATTGAGAAAGCTGCTGTTTGGAAATTTATTTTCCAACTCTGAAAACATTGCAATAGATGTCATTGCACAAATAAGTTACGAGTATAACATGAAGAGTCAATATTGGCTTTTGAAATTGGATGTGTATTTTCGTTTATAAAGAGTTGTCATAACTCAAAACACCATGGAGACTTAAGTAGGAAGCTTATAGTTATAATGGCCAAGTTTTTCTTTTAATTTCGTGCTTATGTTACAGATTGTTGGAATACGAGATATAATTCCACCTCCACAAAGAGAATCATTCAATGACGTTTATATTGCATATGAGCTTATGGACACTGATCTCCATCAGATTATTCGCTCCAATCAAACCTTGTCAGAGGAGCACTGCCAGGTTAAGTTCAAAAGTTGAAGACATGCAACATAAACCTTTTGACTTCATTACTGCAAAAGTAAATTTTATCTGTTCCGTGATTTATGATAGTCAATCAATTTCACTTGAAACTAATTTCTCAATGTGGCTAATCCTCTCCTATCCCTTTTGGACAAATTTCATTTGAAAGCTTCCATTATAAATCCCATGTACTATGGGTAGTTGATGTAAACAATAAAGTTGAGAAAGTCGAGGATGAAAACAAAAACTGAAAAACACTTTTTTTTTTGAGAAATATTATAATGCAAGATGTTGTGGGTAAGACGCCGTGCATTTTATAATTGCAAGACACCTATGTAGCATGCTATGTCAATTACCAAGCCGATGGGTTGGCTAAAATTGCAGGCCGTAGGTGCGAGATGATAAGAGGCCATGATAGCAAGCTAAATGGTCTTGGTTGTGCCTCTTCAGTGACATGGCGTGTCAATTGGACATACCGTGTATATGTCTGGCATTATAGCATACAAGACGAGTATAAGACTGGGACCACTAATTTTGTGTATAATTATTATTGCTATTCATTTTTGGCATACTAGGAAAGAATGCACATTTGGTAAGTGCTTTATAGAACATTTGATATAGTAATCGTTTCAGTTCTGAAGAAATAAAGTTGATATAGTAATCGTTTCAGTTCTGAAGAAATAAAGTTTAAGATATACATATTTAATACTCTCTCCGCCCCGAAATAGTTTTTGTTATGGTTTGGCACAATATGAAGAGAGTGATTGAAATCGAAAAAATGTTGATATATGGGTATAAATAAGTGAAATAATAAGAACCACAAATACCATGCCTTAAAAGGAAACAGAAAGTTTTTTTTTGGGACAGACCAAAGGAAAACTTGAAGTTTATATCGGTATGTAGGGAGTAGTTGTAACTGTACCTTTTAATGCTATGAGGCACATTAATTGACCGTTGTATTTTACCGATCTAAATTCTTGTTAAATCTTGCATATCGTCTTAGACTTTACATATGCACAAGTAAACAGTATGTATTGTATATTTATTTAAATGTATTCATATATTCATAAGTATTTCTATATATATTTTTATTTCTTTGGTGTCAAATGTTCCTCAGATTTCTTTTTTGTCCATCCCAAAAGTTTTTCTTATTTGGTTTTTATGAGAGAACTGTGTAGTTCATATTGATTCTTTCATGTATAAATAAACCTCAATCACATGATTTAAATGCCTAAATTCGATGTAAAACAAATAAGAAGAACAAATTGAAATGGAGGGAGCAATATGTTAACATTTGTTCAGTTATACACGCACACACTTATGTGTGCTGATTAAATATTTTTTTCAACAAATATACTATTATACATACACGTTTGTGCATGTCTGGTTCTTTATATTAAAGTAAATGCATGAAAGTGTTACATGTTTAGTTATTTAATTTATGTAGGAGTTAAATCCCCATATTAGTTTCTCATTCTCTTTTGACACACTTATTGAGAGTATGAAATTGTGTGGTTGAGGTTCATTTTGAAAGAATATAAACAAATCAAACAATATCAATCATACAATTCTTTCCTTAAAAGGATTGTGAAGATAATTTGGGGTGGATGAAAAATGAAAGTTGGAAGCTAATATGAGGACAAAAGGAGTACTCTTTACAGATCATTCCATCTGTCTTATTTTATTTGTCTAGTCTTTCTTAAAATACTTTTACCAACCACCGATGATCTTTTTAAGTTTCCAAATTTAGCAATTCACCATTTAGTCCATTTACATGTGTTACTCTTAAAGGGAAAACATGAAAAGTAGATCATATTTTATTTGTTATCTTGCAAGTCACCCAAAAGTGAATGCCCATATATTTTAGAATTAATGGTGGTGTACTTCATAAACATTTCCTGAAATGTAATTATTTTGTCTTTAATTTGGTTAATCTCGTTCCATTCCTTAATAACCTACCAACCGTTGAAAAGAATTAGTTGTACTATCCTTAGCTTAGCCCTCGGATGAACCAAATATTGGAATAGAGTTCCTATTACTCCAAATTTTTGGATTTGATCGAGTATATACTGTAAATTGCTTTTTTTATTAGTTTGTGTAACCCCATTTCAATCCATAAAGAAACAAGTGGTGGAACAGAATTCCTTGCATACTCCTAAGCGTAATCCTTGGATGAATCAATCAATGGAATAAAATTCTTTTTCAATTACCACAAAACTTATCCTATAATCAAGACATGTGGTTAAAGATATTATATATGTTTGTCTTTTCTTATCATCTTTATTTTTCTTTTTCATTGAGTGCATATTATACTTATAGAGTGTTCATTGTTTCCATAAACAATCCATTCCTCATATTTGCTCTTTTTCTGCAGTATTTCTTGTATCAGATTCTCCGTGGGTTGAAATATATACACTCAGCAAATGTGTTGCATAGGGACTTGAAACCTAGCAATCTTCTCTTAAATGCCAATTGCGATCTGAAGATATGTGATTTTGGATTAGCTCGTGTCACTTCTGAAACAGATTTTATGACCGAATATGTAGTTACAAGATGGTATCGGGCACCTGAGCTGTTGTTAAACTCTTCTGACTATACTGCAGCAATTGATGTATGGTCAGTGGGCTGCATTTTCATGGAACTTATGGATCGAAAACCCTTATTTCCTGGCAGAGATCACGTGCACCAGTTACGACTGCTTATGGAGGTATCATATCTATCACTTCAAGTTGTGTCTTAAAGCTCGTTCTCTGCCATTCTGTTAATACTTTTAGAATTTACCATCACTACAAGCTGCATCTGATAGATCGTTTTCCACCATTTGTTCAATAATTTTGGTTGCTGTCATGCTTATTCCATTCCACCTGTTATTGTTAATTAAACATGGGTTCGGAATGGGACATGAAAAGCTCCTCTTAACAACTTTAAAGATTCAGTGGTAAAGCCGTTTTGACAGTGACAGTGCCATTGAAGACCTTTTAAAGCGAATTACTTTATAGATCAGGGTACACTGGAGTAACTTGAATATTCTAATGTTTATAGTATGACCACTTAACAGAAAGATCACTACTTAGATCACTAAAGTTTGCCATATTTACTGTATTCTAGGTCAATTTGACTTAATTTGGTCTTCTGTTAAGAAATTAATTACTGCGATTTTTCAGATTAATGACTTGGTTCTAAGAAAAGAAAAAATTCACTACTTTCTAAGAGAAATGGCATTTCAGTTTAAGGAAATATATTTTATAAATTTATTCAAAGGTAGAGGCATCTGACCAAAAAAGAGTGTGAAGTGAATTGGATGGGGTAATCTGATCCTCAGGTAATTTAAGTAATTTGATCATCATTGAGAGGAATTTCAATCTTCGGTGCTTTTCATATTAAATGTGTTGCAATCATAGTTTTTAATGAAATTCACTGTTGATTAGTCTCTGTTGGAACAAAAGGTTTAAACTGGAAAGAATTTAGGCCTCAAGTGTGATTTTGTAATAAAACATGATGCTCAAGATATAGCTTAATAATGATTGAGAACTATGACTTAATATCCCCGTCACATTTGACTATATTGCCGTCTTTTTCCTATTGTTTGTTGTTTCTTATGTATCTGGTGAATGGGGGAATCCTTCATTGACCTGATCTTCTGGATCTTGTTTTGGCCTTGATGATGGCATGATGAACTTGGAAGATAATATGTTATAAGATTTAATCAAGTTGACTTATCTGCCCATCCCATCCTGTCCCATCCCAACTCCCTAGTCTGAACACTCGATCATATTGCAACTTGTCTTGTTAAAGTTTTATAGTGGCTAATTATTCTTCACTGCAACTATTTGAAGTGTTTTTATTAGTATGAATTACTTGTAGCACATAACAAGAAGTCCATTGTCGAATGAAAGTCAATTTCAAAATGTGCTTATTTTAGTCGAGTAACTTTTGACAAGGGGTACACATTTCAGCTGATTGGTACTCCTTCAGAAGCTGAAATGGAGTTCTTAAATGACAATGCAAAAAGATACATCCGTCAACTTCCTCTTTACCGCCGCCAGTCATTCACTGAAAAATTTTCCCAAGTGCACCCAGCTGCTATAGATCTTGTTGAGAAAATGTTGACGTTTGATCCTAGAAAAAGAATTACAGGTTTGATATTCTCTGCCTGGTGGATTGTGAATTTGTTGTTTATGGTTCTCTTTCATACAAATCAAGTACTTAAGCATCTCACTATGATAGCCTGCTTCTCTAACTCTCTTTTGTCATCAGCACATGATATGCTAGGTACTCTATTTCTGAAATTATATTCTTTTTTCATGACTTTATTCGAGAAATGATGTAACTCTCTTTTGTCATCTTTTTTGTCTTCCACGCTTGCCCAACTGTTACCTTTCTGGTACTGTAAGAACATGTATATAAGTTTCATTCTGTAGCATATAAATTTTTTGAGATTCGGGACAGGTTTATTACTAACATAGTAAACTAAAGCGAGAACTATCAAATAAGCCCTCGAACTTACATAAAAAGTGCAAATCAGCCCTTTTATAGGAGTCTGTGTCCAGCCGTCGCCATTTGAGGCAGTTCCGGTGGAATTTTTTGATGAAATTTTTTGAGCATCTTATTTATCAAGTCTAGTTTACTCATACCAAATTTCAGCTAAAAATTCAATTGGGAAGGCAGTCAAATGAATTTTTGAAGATAACTGCGCCGATAGACAACGCAGTATATTTCAGAAAATCATTTGACTGCCTTCTCGGTTGAATTTTTAGCTTAAATTTGGTATGGGTAAACTAGACTTAATGAAGAAGATGCTCAAAAAATTTCATCAAAAAATTGCACCGGGAACCACCCCAAATGGGACGGCCGGACAGAGCCTCCTATAAAAGGGCTGATTTACACTTTATGTAAGTTCGAGGGCTTATTTGATAGTTCTCCCTAAACTAAATCATTTATTTGCAATTTATGTGGTTGCGTGCCTGAAACTGCAACCGTTAAGATGTCATTATGTTATTCAAGAGATTTAAAAAGTTTAAACAGGGAACAAGGAAAATGTTGAAAAGTCTATTGCATTTTCGAACATTTTTCCAGCTCCTTCTCTACAAGTTGATGATCATGTTGTGTCCAACGTTGGGGGGGGGGGAGGTGAACATATCGATATGAGGAAATTTTTGGAAAACAAGAACACATCTGAAGAGCTTGTTTAAGAAAAAATAAAGAGATCATTGAGATTTTAGTTATATTTAACGATACTTCCTGATATATCTTGAAATGTTTGTTGTCTATGTTTCTTAAAGTTTTCCAAATTTTCCAAACCATAGAAAAACGTAATTACCATATACGGTTGTGTCTTCACTGTAGTGCCTGATTTTTCATCAGATGAAGGATTTCCTGTGAGGCGTGCAGCCTTGCAGAGTAGGCAAGAGTCCTTTTCTATTCAACACACAACTCGTAGTGACTTGTTTTATTTTGGCGTCTTACTGCTAACACAGTTATTGCTGTGTAAACTCACTAAGAAAGCTTTTCTAGTATACGTAATAGGTTAATCGCCTAATATGAATCTGATCAAAGAGTAATTTATTTATAGAAATCAATGTTTCTTACCATTGCACTGATTTCCTGGTGATTATGGTTATATGTGCACGGTTTATGCATATGCATTTCCCCTGTGGTCATAGGGGCGGGGGGATTTTAAGGAGCATTCCTGCCCAAATTTGCCATGCACTAATCCTACAATTCTCTTTGTTGGCTTCAGTTGAAGATGCACTTGCTCACCCGTACTTAACGTCACTTCATGACATTAGTGACGAACCTAGTTGCATAAATCCTTTTAACTTCGACTTTGAGCAGCATGCTCTCACGGAAGAACAAATGAAGGAGCTTATTTACAGAGAAGCTCTTGCATTTAATCCAGAGTATCAGCAGCACATGTGAAGGAACCCACTGGTTGTAAAATATGTTGTATGTCATCTTTTATCCATCTCATCATTGTTCTCGTCGAACCCCCCCGAAATGGCTCTGGTATTTGAGCATTTCACTGATTGGAGGATAAGGGTCATAAACTCGGTTGCTTTGTGAAAGATGCAGACAGCCCAAGTATATTTCCATATATAAATCCATATGTATGTATCATATTTGCTGATTTCAGATTCTGATTAGACAGCATCTTCATTAGAAGTGGTTTGTATTAATGCTTCAATTTCACATTTGCTTGTAAGGCTGCAATTTAACCTTGTGTATTTCTACTCAGTTCAGCTGATCAAAGTGTCATTCCATTTTATTCCATTGTGTACCCGAATTACTGGTTTGTTTCTGAAAATTAAACAACATTAGCTGCATGGTCTGATATTCCAGCTGGTGTCCCTTTTGGGGGTTGTGTACTTGTATTTCTACGGCTAATGTAGAAGCCTATAGTGGGACGGAGGGAGTAATAAGTAACTGTGACATCAATGGAAATAACCAAATCACTACGGCTTAGAAGCCTAGAGTCTAGCTCACATTAAAGGGCCCATTACTTTCCAATATAAGCAGCATGTTGTCTTTAAAAATTGAAAAGGTTGCAAGTAAATGTGACATCAATGAAGTAACAGTTTGTTATTCAATAAAAAGGAAATTAAAGAAAAAAAATCACTCCTCCAAAGTACCCCAAACTGGAAGAGTGAAATCTGAGAGGTTTGGAGTAGCCCATAGCTCCTCCAGTTAACTCCCTACCCTTCTCACCGAAATCCTCCCGCCAAAGAAAATATAAGGAAATAACTATGATCGTGAAAATAACAAAGATGAGGAAAATCATGAATCATTTAGGAAATATCAACACTCTAAAGTATTGAAAAATCAAGGAACAATTCTCTATTAAACAACATTTCATAAGTCAAGTTAGAACTTAGAAGCTCTAAATCTATCTTTCAAAAACTCCCAAGTTTCTTCAATTTCCTATTTTCTTTAGTTCAATAATTTCCACACATTCTTTACTTGGTTTTCACTATACAAATGTTTTCTACGCTGTTAAAAGACACCTTTCCAGAATGCTTAAGAAAAACCTAAAAATTCTAAGTTCATGGGGACACAGAATAATCACCAAGGAATGATATTCTACATTTCTATCTTCTTACTTGTTGACCATGTATGCTTCAGAGAGTCTCAGACTAGCCACCGATCAATAACAACCAAAGTAAAACCACTAAAAACGTCAAATCATAGACTATTGCGCTCACCTCACTGGACCGCAGTTCAGGTCTTGTAACATGAGCTACAACTTCCACATTAATGAGAGGCTGACATGGGTTCTCCAGTTCAGTGTACAAAACACAAGATTTGAAACGAAGGAAATTTCCAACATCTACCTGCAACAACCGATTAAATGTTAAAACCGAAGTAACATACAACTATACAATTGAAGTTTTGTATTTACAAAACAAAAGAATCCTTCTTCCCCTTCAAATGAAAAGAAGAAAGCCTTTTGTGTTAAAATCGAACCACTTGAGCAACAAGCTGGTTACAATTGATGGGTTAGGGTTTGGAATTTCTGACCCATTTAGTTTGCGGGTTTCGCGGGTCAACCCACGCGGATTGCGCGTTCAAGTGGGTTGGCCCATCGGGTTGCGGGTTGGCCCGCAGGCCAATATACAAACATATAGTTTTGAATTTTATTATCTTAAATATTGTTCTTTTACTACCAATATTTTTATAATTACAATTAAAAAATTACAACCATGACAAAACAATATTTATTTCTATAATATTCATGATGGAGTATATGGGTCTGAGCCCCCGGACCCACATACTCGGAAGAACAGAAGGCACAAGACAACAGAGTGGCGCCCTCGTCGGCCAAGACGCCCCCGTCGGCCGGAAAGGGGCCAACTCGGATTATGGTCCTGAGTCCAAGGAACCCGGGTGCCCTCGTCGGCCGTGCCCTCGTCGGCCGTGCCCTCGTCGGCCGTGCCCTCGTCGGCCACGCCCTCGTCAGCCAAGAAGACCTCCCAGAATCGGATTTTACACTTACTCATTTGTACAGCCCATTAGTGGCTTTGTATTCGGCCCAGTAGCGGTCCAGTTGTAAATGGGCCTCCCAAGCCCAAGGCTTGGGAGCCCAACCCTAATTTTCTCTATAAATACTCCCCTTGGGAGTAGTTATAGGGGTTACAAAATCATTCTATTGAAGCATATTATTGCACTTCTCTCTCTAGCTCTCACTTCTCTCTAGATATACTCTATCATTTGGTGCTCTCGTTGAGAGCTAGAACAATCAAGTTAGCACCCTTCGTCGCTACCAAGCACAACTAACCACTGATCATGGGGAGAACTAAGTCAAACCGCAACCTCGTCAGCAAAGTCATCCCTGAGGACCAAGAGCCCAGGGAGCATGAGGAGGACGCCACGGCCGACCAGGCCGGCGGAGGGGACCTCTTCCAGGAGGCCTTCAACCTCACGACGGACCTCCGCAACCAACTCAACGGCGGAGTCCCCGACGCCCGCCTCGGCCTGGAAAAGAAACGAGCTGAGAAGACGGACCACGCCCCGGCCCAACCTATGGATCCGCAGGTCCAGGCCGCGCTGTCGGTCATCATCGCCAGCCTGGCTCAGAACCCCACCGTCCTCAGCGCACTCTTGCTAAGGACCGGGGGAAACGTCACTCCACCTCCTCATCCCCAACCGTTGGCCGTCCAGATAGGCAACAATGAGGGGGTTGTGGCCCAGGACACGGCGTCGTCCCACTCCCACCCTGCTTCCCCTCTTCGGCCCGGGCAGACCCCAGCGCGTGGAAAAGCCTCTGCCTTCAATAGGCTAGGTGACACGCGTCGTCGTCCGGTTTCGGAAAGGATGGCGGGACGGATTGGTGATCCTCGTCCTGACTCGCCAAGGGAAAGCTTGGGGTCTGTGTCCCGGACAGCGGACCAGCCCCGCCCGGACAAGGGCAAGGGGAAGTTGCACGAGGATGACGTGCGTCACCAGATCAACGCGGCTCACAATGAGCGCCTGAGGAACCAGCCGGGCGCCGCCGCGGCCGATAGGGACCCCCAGGACGAGGTCATCGCCCAGCTAGAAAGGAGGCTGGCTCAGATGGAGGCCAAGCAGTCGGCCAACATCCCTACGGCCGGCGCCTCCAACGACCCCGGCCTCAACGCGCTCATGAACAAAGTTAGCGCCCTGGAGAGGGAGCTGGCCGAAGGGCGGGGTGACCCCATCATCCAGGTCAGGACTAGGACCCCTTTCACCAACAGGGTCCTCTCGGCCCCCATCCCTGAGAAGTACGGGAGAACGCTATCAAGTCCTACGATGGCCGATCAGACCCCCAGGAGCACTTCAGTCGTTACCAGAACAACATGCTGATGGTGAACGCGTCCGACGAATACCTCAGCCGTTGGTTCCTCTCTACTCTCGAGGGGCCAGCGTACGAGTGGTTCAACGGGCTGCCAGAAGGAAGCATCGACTCATGGCAGGATCTCGCCCAGCGCTTCCTCACTCACTTTGCCGGGAGGAAGCGCGCCAAGAAGTATTTCACCCACCTCCTCTCCGTCAAGCAGCAGCACGAGGAGTCCCTCCGGTCATTCATCGATCGGTGGACGAGGGAGACCGAGGAGGTCGAGGGGGCCGATGAGCGCACCCTCCTCGCCTTGTACCAGAGAGCCCTCCGCAGCTCCCCGTACGCTAGGAGCCTTATCACCGACCCCCCGAGGTCGTACGCCAAGGCGCTCCAGCGCGGCGGCTTGTACGCCGACGCCGATGAGCTCCATAATCACAAGAAAGAGGGGGGCCATCCCTCCAAGAAGACAAATCCTTCGCCGGCCCCGGGCCCGTCCCCGGCCGGCCAGGGTGCCCAGGGCCGTCACGGCTCTGGTGGACAGAGTAAGAAGGATCGCCACTGGCGGCCGAGGTTGGAACGGCCGGGGGTCTCCCTCACCCACCCGGTCGGCACCATCCTCGATTATGCCGAGAAGCACGGCCTCATCGAGCAGGCTCCTCGGCCGGCCGAGGAGATCCTTGCCATCCAGCAGGGCGGCACATACTGCCGGTTCCACAAGAACTCGTCGCACAACACCGACGATTGCATCACGCTGAAGAAGGCCATCGAACGCCTTATTCGCCAGGGGGAACTCTCCCAGTTTGTCAAAGGTGGCCCACGCAAGAACACTTGGGTAAACACCGGCAAACATGGGGGCGAACCCTCTGCGAAGAAGCGGGAGATTGGTAGGCTCAGCGACGACGAGGACTTCGAAGAGCCTCCGCCGAAGAAGAATCACATCCACCTCATCGTAGATGGGAACACAGGGGGGGACTCCGCCACTCAGAGAAAGAAATGGGCCCAATCCCTTTACATTGGGGAGGTGTCCCACGTCCCCCCCCCCCCCCCCCCCAGCCGAAGAGGCAGCGAACGGAGGCGATCACCTTCACCGACAAGGATCTGCCTCCGGGTACGGAATCACACAGGGACGCCCTCGTCATCCGGTGTGAGATCGGTGACTCCATCATCCACCGTACTTACATCGATACGGGGAGCTCCGTCAACGTGATGTACCTGGACACCTTCAAGCAGCTGAAGCTGGACAGAGCTCTGCTGAAGCCGATCAAGACCCCGTTATCCGGCTTCACCGGGGACTCTATCGACGCCGAGGGCACGATAGTCCTCCCCGTGGAGGTCGGTGACGGCCCCCACCACGCCAAAATTGACATGGAGTTCATGGTGGTCAACCTCCAGTGCGCCCACAACCTGATCTTGGGTCGGCCAGCGCTGGAGGACTTGGAGGCCATCATTTCCATGAAGCACTTGTGCCTGAAGTTCCCCACCAACGATGGCATCGGCTACGCCAGAGGGAACCAGAGGATAGCCAGGGCATGCTACCTCAAGCTGACGAGGCAGGCCGAGAGGGAAGGCCAGAGGATAGACACCATCACAGCCGCCGTCGCCATGGACGAGGAGAGACCACATGCGGAGCCGGCCGAGGAGGTCAAGGAAATTCCTCTGGATACCTCCCGGCCGGAGCGGGTTCTCAGAGTCGGAAAGCAACTCCCCCAGGACCAACGAGACGCCATCCTCCTCGTTCTACGGTCATACGCCGTTGTCTTCGCATGGGGCCCGGACGATATGCCGGGCATCAGCCGTCAGGTGATCACTCACCGGCTGACCGTCGATCCGGCCTCCACGCCCGTCAAGCAGAAGCGACGCTACTTGTCCGCCGACAGGCGGGACTTCGTCAAGGGGGAGGTCGCCATGCTCCTATGGATCAAACACATCAAAGAGGTGAAGTACCCGACATGGTTGGCCAACATCGTCCTCGCCCAGAAACCGCCGACGTTCAGAATGTGTGTTGACTACTCTGACCTGAACAAGGCGTGCCCCATGGACCCGTTCCCTCTCCCCAATATTGATCAGCTGG